GAGAGAGAGAGAGAGAGAGAGAGAGAGAGAGAGAGAGAGAGAGAGAGAGAATGTACGTAAGGCTAAGAAAAGAGAGCACAATAGACAAAAACATAAAAACTGCAGAGAAAGATAAAAGGAAAGACAAATATTTCAAGACGCCAGAGTGAACAGTCACACCACACTGCAACAAAAGTGAACGGCCGTGCTGTGCCACACAGTAACTGACCCCAGTTCTCAGTGCCACCTAGCGCCGGTCTTCGCTCTGACCCAGCAGACCCCGTGAGGTGCAGACCTCCTCTTAGAGATAGAAGAAAGAACATACCATAAAGCTGCTTCGTCCTGTGGTATCAGAGAGAGAAAGATAGACAGATAGAAGATAGTAAGATACCACACATAATGCGCACACAGGCTTGTTGATCCCACACAATCCCCAGGGAAGGACTGATGCGCAATAACTTAATAACCCAACTCAAAGATGGAGACAGGACTGAGAGGAAGACAGGACGGAGGGGAGAAAGTTCAATCATCAGCATTCAAGCATCATCAAATGATCTGGCCTACCTGGTAACATGTGGCGGGCTCATGCGCTGGCTCGTGGCAGTACCAGCAGAAGGCATGACCACATTCGCACTCCACATTCAGTGCACGTTTCATTCTCATACAGCGTCCAAGCATATCCAACACATCATACTCATTTTGTAAATACACTGCTTTACCGCACCCCGGCCTTGGGCACCACCTCACCTGTAAGAACAGCCAAAAGCACACAAGAAATAGTTTTTTAGAACAACATACCAACTCCCTCCCTCTCTCTCTCTCTCTCTCTCTCTCCCTCCCCCCTTCCCTGTTTCTCGACCAAGATTGCATTTGTTATGTGCTCTGCGGAGGGCGATAGAGGAGAGGCAGGAATGTTCCACCTTCTGCCACTTTTTTTTTTTTTTAATCTTTTTTCACAAATTTTCAGTACGTTTTCTTCACTTTTTTGTATTTTTGAAACTTTTTTAAACCACCAGTTACATCCGAGCGTCTTTTTGCCGAGGTGGACTCCACCTGCCTGCCAAGCTTTGCTCAAGTGCCAGCGAGCTTTTTTTTTTCCTTCTTTCCCCTGCAATTACTCAGCTCAGATATGCACCAGCCGTGGGCTGTGGGTCGTCACTTTTGCTCCCGAAACGGGAGTCAAAGGTCACACCCAAGTCATGAAAACGCCCGAACGAAGGCCTGCTGCTGTGGGGAACCAAAGGCAAGGCCAAAACTGGCCTTCAGAGGCCCAACGTGAGACAGTTGGCCTTGGGAAAGTCGACATTCAACCTCAGCTCGGGAATTCAGGCCCACGGGTCGAAGTCAACATGAACCCAGCCTCAGCCGTAGATCAGACACACGCCTTTAATTTGCAGGTATCCAGCAGGAATCAAGTCCAAGTGGAAATCTGCAACTGTACGAGATCCAGGCCATTGGCTGATCTGGGCCATCGTATCCGAGATACCAGAGGCAGGTCAACATGAGTCAACACTTCAAGGTTGACCCAGCCCCTGCTGGACGACATTCAGTCTTGTACGTGCTGCTTGACGCTGGCTTAACGCTGGTGTGACGACACAAGACTGCCAGAGCTCTATGCTGGCGCCAGTCTCTGTCTCCGGCGCCAGCTGTGCACTTGATTATGCTGACGTTGCTCCTGCCACACGGATTTCGACATTGATGTAGTATGGGCGAGGAGGAGGATCAGGGCTGTGAGATTGGTTGATTGAGAGAGAGAAGCTTACCTGTGTGTGATCGTGTCGACATTGCACCTCTGCTGAACATCGTCAGGAGGAGATCTGCACCATCCTCCCTGGCCGATGCTGGCATGGCTGGAGAATGGGCGCCCTGTTGTAACCTGCTTGCCGTCAGAGTTCATCAGGGAGAAACTGTTTGCTGACGTGGTGAGTTGGGGGGACGCCCGAAGAGGAAGTGGGTTTGCGAGAGAGCTCCGTTCAACGATGATGATGGAAACTCTCTCTTCCACCCTCTAAATCTCTCCTCCCTCTCTCCTCATCTTCTTCTCTGAGCACGAGACATTGGGCTATATGTTCGACAAGTTTCGTTTTGCGTATGATTTTGGGAGACGTTGATTCTACACTGAGACATTCTGTATTTCCACATTGACAAACTTCTCACCTGATTGGGTTCATTGCAGTTTGGTATCAGAGCGATATCCTCCATCCTACGCTATCTGCTGATGCGCGAATCATCACGCGATAGGATTGTTTTCGCGCACCCGATCGTGCGCTCGTCGTGGACTTGATAGAGTATCGCGTGACTATCCGCGCGCTTGTTTGATTACGCACGCCCATTGCCATTGCGCACCTGTTTGGATCCGTGCGTTGGTTCTGTGCCGCGTGCGTGCATGAATCTGATGGTGATGATGATAATGATGATGACGTGGACCTGATGATCGTTGGCGAGGAAAAGCTGATGTGGCGCTGGGCAACCGGTGAGAGAGAGAGAGAGAGAGAGAGAGAGAGAGAGAGAGAGAGAGAGAGAGAGAGAGA